TATTTTCCATGTTTTCTCCATATTAATATCTTTATATATATATATATATATACATATATATTTATATGTTTCTTTGTTTTTTTTACGAAAAGAAAAAAAAACGATAATTTAAAACACGAAATGTATTTTTTACTGAATAAGCATGTGGTTCTGCTGATGAACTTCGATTCTTTAACACCATAATAGTTTAGCGTTGCTAGAATTGAAGAAATATTTTTTACAAATATTTTAGCAAGAAAAAAAAACAAAAATTTGAGGCTCTTGAATCTAGGGCTCTGCGTAGTAAAAAATTCAGGATAAAATACGGTAAAAAGTACAAACATTTCGAATGCTGCATGTTTAAAAACCATTTTTACTATAAATATTAGCAATATTATTTATTTAATTATAGTTATTCGTGGTTTTTACAGAGAATAATACTGAAAAAATTATATATCAGTTTTTTTTTTCTCCTAAACTTTACGGTAATAAAACTTTACGGTAAAAAGTAATGGCACACTGAGTGCCGTTACTTTTACCCGTAATTTTATCTGCAATTACTTACAATGTGATTATTATGAAGAGAAAATTTAGAATTTTTTTTTCAAGAAACTGTAAAGCTTAAAAAGTCATGAGGTTTTATCATTTTTACTTAATATTAATTTATGTTCAAAATCTGAAGAAAATGCGTTGAACAGTTTCTTAAAAATAGAAATTCAGTCATAATATTTTTATTTAAATTTAATTTCGTAATTTTTTTTTAGTTTTTGAACCTTATGAATCAATTTTTTCATATTTGCAAAAGCGTAGATAATATGATGATGGATGGCAAGAACATAGCTAAGTTGCAAGATAATTTGACGTTAAACTTATGAAATCTTATGATGAAAAAGTTTTCTATTTTCATTAAGTTAAGCTATTAAAAATAATTAATATTTAGTGAAAAGTATTTTTTTTAAAAAATTAATTGTGGATGAGCGAGTTTTATGAAACAGCCCTATAATTTTTAAAACAGTGTAATCAAAGACTGAAATATGCTGAAAAACAAAATAAAATTACAAATAGCATTAAGGGTTCTATACTCGACTATACTACACTTATACTACTTCCACACTGTCAGACTGTACTTAGAAACACATTTTCTAAATTTTCTTTTAAATTTTGAGAGTCAAAAATCTAATGTCAACGTAAAATAAGTGCTTTCATTATCCCTGATAAAAAAATAATATTGATTATTATCGACAGCACAAATTAATTATGTTTAAAACTTGTGTTTAGAGACATTTAGATTACATGTTATTACGTAAACATTCAAATGTCCAATCAAAAATATTTAAATAATTGAGTTTTTGATTTTGTTGTGTGCACATAGAAACACTACAATAGAAACACTTTTGCTTTGTGAACTTTAGTTTGTTAAATATATTTCCCACAAAAATTCTGCTTATTTTTTTATACGTGGATAAATTTAGTTGCAAAATATTGTTTCATTAAAATAATAAAATGTTTAAACTAATGGTTCTAAAATAGATATAAAAAAAACTTAATAAACTTGAAAATGTAATAATATATTTGGTGTATAATGTTAATAAAACTAAACCAATTCAAAAATTAGCCATGCAAGCCAAAGAGTACTTTTTAGATATACTTCATTCAAGAATTCAGCTGATGTTTTTTTTATATTAAATGTTTAAAGTAAGTTATATCAAATCATTTAAAAATATATTATAAAATTTTGAAAATGCTAAAATTCTTGAAAATTTAATAATATATTTGCTGTATAATATTTATAAAACGAAACCAATCGAAAAATTAGCCGAACAAACCAAAGAGTACTTTTTAGATATACTTCATTCAAAAATTCAGCTGATGTTTTTTTATATCAAATGTTTAAAGTAATGTGTATCAAGTAATTAAGAAATATATTATTAAATTTTCAAACTTAATAATACATATATGATTTATAAATTAATATATTATTAATAATTAATAATAAAACCAAACCCGACTAAAAAAAAACAGCCATATAAACCAAAAAACAGCTTTAAATTATACTTCACTCAATTCTACTGATTATTTTTTATACACAAATAAATTTAGCTTTAAAATATTGTTTTATTATATCTATCTATCTATCTATATATATATATATCTATCTATATATATATATATATATATCTATATATATCTATCTATCTATATATATCTATCTATCTATATATATCTATCTATCTATCTATATCT